TCCCCTCCCCTCCCCGCTGGCACCACTTCCTCATGCTATTTGTAACTATGTCCTAGCTGCAACCCAAAAGCCAGTCTTGACAGACTCCTCCACCCCAAATACCTCTTTCGCAGGATCTCCTGGTCCAAAACTGCGTCTCCTCCACCGGCGCCGTCATCATTGAGGCGGCGCCGTTCTCCTGCACGCGCTGCAACTTCCTGCGCAACGCCGCAAGCGCCGGCGGGGGCGTCTATGTGAGGGGCACCAACACCGTCGCAAACCTCACGGACTGCGTGTTCTCGGCAAACACCGCGGCGGACGTTGGCGGCGGCGTGTCCGTCGGCGGCCTCGCGACGCTCGTCGTCAGGCGCACAACTTTTGACAACAACAGGGCCGTCGCGGCGGGCGGCGGCCTCCACTTCGACGCCGGCGACGACCTGTATGTTCAGCAGTGCTCGTTCGTCGGGAACAGCGTCGACCAGGCCACGACCGCGCTCGGCGGCGGCGCGTTCGTCGACTCGCGCGCGGTCGCCACCGCGACGCCCTTCACGACGATCCTCATCCACTCCACCACGTTTTATAATAACGAGTTTCCCAACAACCCTACCCAGTCGGGGCAGGGGTCCGGGCTGTACCTCAACCTGAGGCAAGGGCCGCCCGCCGTTGCGAGCGTCATCAACTGCATCCTCTGGCGGGACGGCGTCAACGCCTTCTCCGTCTACTACACGCCCTCCTTCTCCCTCAACAACCCCAGCATGCCTTTCAGCCACAACGACTGGGCGGGCGCAGTCGCCGCCGGCGCCGTCGGCACGAACGGCACGCTCGAGGTCAGCCCGCTGCTGCGCTCGGTCACGTACCCGCGGCCAGCCGGCCAGCAGGGGCCGACGACCTTCTGGGTCCCCCCGGCGTCCAGCGCCGTGGTCGACGCGGGCGTGAACACTGGCGGCGACGCAGCCGACATCCGCGGGCTGGCCCGCGTCGTCGGCGCGGCCGCCGACATTGGCGCCGCCGAGAACCAGGCGCCCATCCTTGCTGCAAACCTGAGCGCGACACTCAACGAGGACACCGTCCTCAACGTGCCCGCGCCGGGCGTGCTCGGCGGTGCGGTCGACGCTGACCTGGACCCAATCAAGGTTTCAGTTGTCCCTGGCGGGGCCCCCAACAACGGCACGCTTACCTTGGCGGCTGACGGATCCTTGCAGTACGTCCCAAACCCCAACTATTTCGGGACCGATGGGTTCGTCATCCAGGCGTCGGACGGGGGCCGGTTCAGCGCTCCGCAGCGTGTGACCCTCACTGTCGGTGAGTGCGGGCGCGGCCGTGTTTGGGATACCGTCGTCGGGGATTTTCGCGGCTCTGGCCGAGGGCCGCCTGGGATCAGAGGGAGCATCAGGCAACGGATGGTTGGGCGCATGCATGCTACAACCGTGACCACACCTGATGGAACCTGAGGCCGTTGACCACAGCCTCCCGCCAGATCCTCTTGGGGCTTCCCTCCTCACGCATTGTTCGTCCCCTCTTGCCCACCTGCGCGTGCTGTGACGTCATGCCCCCTTCCCCGAAACCTTCTCTTGCTGCCAATCTTGCTGCCCGGCAGTGCCGGTTCCGGATGCGCCAATCGCGGGCAATGTTACGTACGGCGTGAACCAGGACATCCCATTGTCTATACCAGCGCCTGGCGTGCTCGTCCGCTCCGTCGACAACGACCCGGGCGACAAGCTGACCGCGGTCTTCAAATCTAACGGGCCGCTCAACGGCGTGGTGTCGCTGTCGCCCGACGGCTCCTTCATCTACACGCCCAACCGCGAGTTCTCTGGCGTGGACGGCTTCGATTTCTCGGTGCTGGACTCTACCGGTTTGTCAAGCGCACTGGCGCGGGCATCGTTCATCGTATGTGAGCTGCGTAATTTCTGACAATCTAGGGTTTGACTGCACCCTGCAGACCTGGCGGGGTTGTTTTGGTTTGGGTCAGCATGGCAGTGTCTGCCGAACACAGATTTCGTTGTCTCCTCTGCAAATGTGTCTACCACTGCTCCTTATACCGCCCCGCCGCACCTTTTCCTTCTTTTTATGTTGTTTGCCTTCCTCTGCTGCTGCTGCATGCTGCTGATTGCTCAAGTACGTGGGCCCCGCGTTCCCAATACGACTGTCAAACCTCCTCGCGGCACAAACCACCAGCTGCCTCTCCTCACAGCTGCTGCATCCCCTCACTGGCCCGGCTGCCCAAACTGCATACTCACTGAAAGCCGCTTCTCCTTGCGGCTGCCTCCCCTCCCTGGCCCTGCCCCTTGAACCTCAGTCCCCAACCAGCTCCCCAACATCACCGACCTGGTGTTCGTCACCAAGGAGAGCACCCCGCTGGCCATCCCCGCGGCCGCGGGCGTCCTGGCCACCGCCAGCGACCCCGACGGGGACCTGCCGCTGACCGCGTTCATCCTGCCGGGCAACGAGGCCCAGCGCGGCGTCGTGAAGCTGGAGCTGGACGGGTCCTTTGTGTACGAGCCGATTCTCGGCTTCAACGGCCTCGACATTTTCAGGTTCACGGTCAGGGACAAGAGGAACGGGACGGTGACACGCCAGGCCTTCATCAATATCAGTGAGTTGACGATCGGCGGCCGCTCGGCGGTTTGCTTTCAGGGCTTGACATTGTGCGGGTGGGGTCAAAGGGGGCGACAAGTTTGTGCGAAGACCTTCAGGCCTGCAGCAGATATCATAAGCAGGCACAGTGTGCTCTTGCAATACACCCCGTGAGCGCTGTGGCTTGCTTGCATCGCTGCACCTGACCTGCATGATGCCGGAAACAGCAGGAAATCTCGCAAAATTTCACTTGCTCGCTCTGCATCTCGCCTTTCATGTTGGTGCCGTCTACCCGCAGTCCCCAACCAGCCCCCTGTCAGCACCGATCTGTCCTTTGTTGGCAAGGAAAGCGTTGCCCTGACTGTCAGTGCAGCAAACGGCGTGCTATCCGCAGCCAGCGACCCCGACGGAGACCTGCCGCTGGCCGCTTTGGTCTTGGCGGGCAACGGCCCCACGCAAGGCACGCTGAACCTTCAGGCGGACGGGTCTTTCACATACATCCCCATCCCCGGCTTCAACGGCATTGATGGCTTCAACTTCACCGTGAGAGACCAGAGGGGTCGATTTGTCACCCGCCAAGCTCAACTTATCATGGGTGAGTTGAGCCCAACCAACAGCAATCTGGTGTTGCCAAAGGTCACAGCAACCCAGGGACCGTGAGAAGGAGGTGCCGTTTCGGGGCCTCAGGCACTGCAGCCAGTCCAATCAAATCAACGTTGCGGGCCCTCACACTAATTAGCAATATGCAGCTTGCGTGTTTGTGGTTACATCTGGTTCATTCCAGCCGCTGTATGCGCTTGCAACCTGTTGCACCTGACTAAGCATCCCCTGCCCCGCTCGTCCTGCTAACGCATCCACCCCTCCTTTCTCAATACCTGTGCTGCAACCCTGCAGTACCCGACCAACTTCCGGTTGCTAATGACCAAGCGTACATCGTCAAGGAGGGCTTCAACTTAACCGTCAACGCTGCAAGCGGGGTGTTGTCCAACGCCAGCGACCCTGATGGGGATATCGACTTGCCCCTCGGGGCCTTGATCTTGGCAGGCGGTCTTCCAACGCGCGGCAACCTAAACATGCAAGCAGACGGGTCCTTCACGTACTCTCCGCTCCCGGGGTTTAACGGCATCGACTCCTTCAACTTCACAGTGAAGGACCAGAGGGGTCGGTTTGTCACGCGCCGAGCGGTCATCACAGTTGGTGGGTGCAGAGGCAGAAGGTTTTGGGGGGAGGGGGAAGGATCATGTGGAGATGTGTTGCTGCGGAGGGGGAGGTTTCGTGCTTGTTGAGGGAGCAAATGTGACAAGACGCGCAAAAAGGAATGCAAGGGTGCCATTGTTGTACAAACTGATGGCGCCTGGCGTTGCATGCACATGTGATGGCACCTGGCAAGCAGCTTTTGCAGGCACTTTTTTGAACACAGCTAGTAGTTTTTGTCCCCCCCTAGTCGGTTCCCTGACAGTTCGACTGCTGCTTCAAGCTGCCACTCTCATTGACAAGTAAGGGGCACGGCGAACTTGCCAATCGCTTTACGCAACACATCAGCCGCTATATGACGCACGCCCCAACTCCCTGCTGCCTGCCCGTCCCCCCACCCAACCCTCGCAGTGCCAAAGTTTGCGCCCAATGCCCTGGACGTATCCTTCAGGACTAAGGAAGACACACCCCTCACCCAGTTCCCGCCGGGCGTGCTGCAGAACGCAAGCGACCCGGACGGCGGTGCGCTGACAGTGCAACTCGCATCGCTGCCGTTGCGCGGCAACGTCAGCCTGTTCCCAGACGGTTCTTTCCTCTACACGCCTGTTGCGGGCTTCGCTGGAGAAGACGGTTTCAACTTCACGGTTGTGAACCCGAATCGCCTGTTTGTAGTGCGCCGCGCATCCATCACAGTCGGTGAGTCAAGCGCGCTGTGCATGAGGGAGGACTCCGGAATCAGTGACATGGAGGAGCCGCCTTTGTCTAGGCAGCCCGTTGCCGGCATGCATTTTGACGCACTTGCATGCCGTGTGTCAACAGCGCCTGTGTGCGTCCGGCGGGGTCATGTGCCCACACTGGCAAATTCACACGCTGGTGCCGCCCCTTTCAACCCGCGCAGAGGCCGTGGAAAAACCCCCCAAGGTGGTCGCACCCCCTGTCTACAACGTCTCGAAGAACACTGTCCTGTTCCTGTCAACGTCTGACTGGGTAGCGCAGCCGGGCGCCGCCTTATCCAGCACTGGAGCCACCGCTCGCGCGTCAGTTGCTCTCGCCAGCCAGCCAGACCAGTCAAAAGCGTCGCTGACAATTGATGGCGGGATTGCGCAGTTCGTTCCGCAGTTCAGGGTCGTGGGGAAGAGCACGTTTGGCATCGTGGCGCGCTCGCCGAGCGGGCTCACTTCGGCCACCGTCCCAGTGACAGTGAATGTGCTGAGTGAGCACGTGCTGCTGGCTTATGCGGAAGCGGCCCCCTTGAAGTCCTGCTGCACGCTCGCTATGCGGCCCATGTGGCCCACCTTGCCCTTTATATGTGGCCCAACATGGGCATGCTTGAAAGAACGCATCCAGACAGCTGTTGCCTCTCACTGCATAGTTTTTCGAGCTCACTTCGTGCTCACAGCCGCCCTTCGCGCCGCCAACTGCCCTCCCTCCCCGCCTCTCCGCCCGTGTGCAGGATCCAGCCCGAAGCTGGCGCAGCCGACCGTCACCGCCCTGAAGATGCGTGTCAACGGCTGCCTGCCTGCGGACGTCCAAATCGACGCCGTCAGCGTGACCGCGGGCCTCTTGCGCGTCGTGACCAACAAGCAGGGCGCCACAGCCGACTACGGCATCCCGGGGCGCGTCAAGATCACCGCCCTGCCTTTGAACGCTACCGTGACTAATGCGGTGGAGACCAAGTGCAGCTTCTTGGTGCTGGCAAGGCTGGGTGCGTCGGGGTCGTTTGATATCAAGAAGCAGGGCTGCAAGTCTTGCTATCGCTGCATGAAGGCGCTCAGGTTCAAGTGCGGGGAGACGTACAAGCTGCGCGTGCAGGCGCGGAATTGGGGCGGCATGCGCACGAGCGCTTGGTCGGCTGACCTGCCAGTCAAGGCCGAATGCTCCCCGAGGGCGGCCGTGTGCTACGCATAAGGGCTGTGGCGGGCCATGCGGCCGGCCGTCAGGGTTGGTTGCTGGTCTTCGCGCAGCTTGCGCGTTGGGAATCCGTTGCGGCGACAGCGCTGCGTCCGCACCTTCCATATTACAACAATGGACGTGCGCCAGCACGGTGTGCGGCACCGCATCACACATGCAGCCCCACGTTTTGTGGAGTAGGCCATCTTGCACATTCAACACACCACCATGGCATCGCCCCTTAATTGCCCCACAAGGGCCCATGACTTTGCACAAACAATGTGTTATCACTGTGCCGTGCGTGGCCTCATTGGCAACACACTCATGCACATGCATATAATGAAACCTGACCCCCTGTTAGCCACACTGCCTCTCTTCACTGGCGCCACATCTCTTGACGCGGGCGCCACGCGGTGAATGACGTCACGCGGTGCACAGACCAGAGCAGGAGGGTTGTGCAAGGTTGCATTGCATGCTGCCAGGTTCCGCTTTGAGAGATTTCGATGCCGTCATCTATTGGTGCGGGCGGCCGACACCACCGCCTTCCCACGCAACCGCGATGCCCTGCTGGGGCCCGGGTCAACCCGGATCACACATGTGGTAGCGGGCCGGCCACACTGGCCTGTTACCGAGTCTGATTGGGGAGCTTGCTGAGGGCTGACAGCAACAGGCTGGAACCGTTCCGGGGGAACGGCGCCCAAGCGCATCGCCTATCATATCTTATAGTCTTTATCCAGGCCCAGTAACCATCAATTTGTTTGTTTGTGTCAAATGGGGTGGCAGATTATTAAAAGTGGGGCGACAAGGCATGCCCCAAGGATGGGCGTTCCACGGCAGCTGGGCTCTTCAGCCTTGTGCACCCGAGATCAGGGGACTTTGCTGCAAACAACACAAAAAGTAAGTCAGAGGTATCACGTGCATGCAATGTATTGCGTGCTGCGGCCCCCGCCCGGTTAATGCTGAACAGGGTCTGCGCTTGTGTTAGCCACCAGCGGGGCACGCAGCACGGGCACGCAGCACGCAGCACCACCCTCCTGCGCACCGCCATCCCGCCTGCTTGCTTAGATAAATGCCACAAGTGGCCGTTTTAGGTTTTATGACATGCTTGGTGGCTCCAGAAAGGTTGCTGCTCTTGGCAGCACGGGTGCAGCTGCCCAGGTGCAGCAGCTGGAGCTGCTGGTGGGAAACGGAACGGCAAGGCCGCCCGCCTGCCACTCGCCCAAAGTGTCCAGCCCGTGGCTCGAGACCAGGCTCTCTATGATGGCAGTCTGCAACGCTCCGCACGGTCCTTAGCGTTAAAGTGGGCTCCGAGAGGCTGGAATGGAGGAAATAGCGAGCACAAACGCCCCTCACGGGGCGCCAAGCTGTGCGCTGTATTACTCACAGACTAAACAGAAGCATTATATAGTGATCAAGCCAGCTTACAGGTGCGCGTGATCTACGGGGGTGCGGACTAAGGGGGCATACCCCACCTAACTGACCCGCTCTTTCTCGCCCCGAGCAGCCCCAAGGCGCAGCTTGTGCGTGTGGAACCTCAGTCTGGAACGCTACAATGGGGGGCAGTCACCGGGCGCGACACGTTCGAAGACGAGGTGCGTGTGCTCACGCGCACATGCCGCACCGCCGTGTCACGCGACTGCACCTGCGTGGCTGACCGGCGGTCCTCCACCCCTGCATGTGCTTCCAGTGAGCACACAACTCCCTTGCCTCCAGCGGTGCCAAACCATAGCTGCCAGCGTACTGCAGGTGGCGCTCGGATTATCAGCAGCGCCCACGCCCCCGCTCGCGCATGTCTCACAGGCGGCGGCGCTGGCCTACCTAAAAGAGGGCGGCGCGCGCGTGGAGCAGCTAGCAGCGGGCAAGGTGGTCCTGGGCTATGTGGTGCTCGGACCCGTGGCTCTGCTGCTCTTTGCGGAGCTGGTGCGTGTGTCCGCAACGCTGCCAGGCGGGCATGAGATCAAGACCGTTTCGCAGACCAAGTGGCACAGGATCCAGCTGCAGGTGCGAGCCCATATGCTTGCGGTCGTTTGAAGCCCGGCTGCCGGCAGGGGTGGGGGGCATGCCGCCCGCGGTCCGGTCAGACGGGACAGGTCGCAAGTCTGGGCGGGCCTTCCGGGCGCAGAGGGGTGAGGTGTGTGCGCGGCGCGGCTGCAAAGGCGCATCGGCCGGCGGGGATGGTTTTGCAGCAGCACCCCCTCAGCAGCAGCCCCGAAGCTGCTGACCTGCAGCAGCAGCCCTGCGGCAGCAGCCCTGCACGAGCAGGCAACAGGCAGCCTGGTCAGCAGTCGTGCGAGCTGTGTGCGACCGTGCGGCAACAGAGGCGCTTGCTCGGTCTCACGCACCAAGGCGGGCAGAATGCCGGGCGCCGCGGAGCATTTTCAGTGAGCCGCCGCGTTCCCGCGGCAGCAAGGGACGCAGCAGCAGTCACTGACGGCTTTGGAGGCGGGTGCCGACAATCAACATTCCTGGTCTTTAAAATTCGCCCCATCGCCCAAGCAGCCGGCGCAGCAGCGGCGGCGGCGGCGGCAGCAGCAGCAGCAGCAGCAGCAGCAGCAGAAGCAGAAGCAGCAGCAGCAGCGCGGCCCCTACAGCCCCCATCCCCTGTCCGGCCGCCAGCAGTGCAGCAGCAGCAGCAGCCACGCCCGCGTGCCCTCCGCGCTGCACCCGCCCCCTCGGCAGCCCCGTCAAAGACCTCCCCCTTCACCGCCCTTCCCCCGCCCGCCACGCCGGCGGCCCCCGTAGCAGCCGGAGCTGGACCCCACAACCCAGGCGGCCACCAAAGCCGAGCTCGACCGCGGAGTGGAGCGCCTCACGTCCTTTCCCATTGATGGTGCGCGCGCACAGGCCGCCCCATGGCCGCGAGGTCGCTGCGGAAACAGGCCGCGCCGCGCAGCCGGGCCGCGGCCGGCAGTTAGAGCTCGTCCGTCGGGTGGCGGCGGCGCGGCGCACCGCCTCCCAACGCGCCGCATGGCGGCCTAACCAGCGCCTGTCTGCCCCGGCGCCCTCCCGCAGGCGCCCATTTCTTCTGCGAGACGCTGGACGTGACGCGCCCCTTCCCCAGCGACGCGCCCGCTGGCCAGCCGTCCTGGCCCTTTGTGTGGAACCGCTGGCTCAGCTCGTCATTCAGGGCCGCCGGGCTGGATGGGGACAGCGCAGTGTGCCCGCCGCTGCTGCAGGCGAGCGCGGGGATTGCATGCGCGGCGGGAGGCCCTGCAGTCGCGGAGGCTCGCGGCAAGCATTTCGCGCAGCGTCGGCCGCTGGTGCCAGCTGGGCGCTCGCCATGCATTTTGTGCGAGCGCGCGCGCGTGCGCCTCATTATTACGCCGGACGTTTCAGCCCACGTAGCCGCCCGACACAACGCATACATAATATATTGTCGGCCCCACTGCCGCAGGGCATGGCTGAGAGCCGGGACCTGGAGGACTTTGACGGGCGCCGCTTCAGCTACTGCCTGCTCAGCCGCCGCTGCCGGCTGCACGTGGGGCCGCGGTACAAGGCGCGCGGCCTGAATGAGGCGGCAGACCCGGGTGGGTGCCTGGGCGGTCTTTCGGAGGGGGGGGGCAGGGGG